TCTTTTACTATTTGGATTTTTCAGATGATGCTATATTCCTGTTCGGTTCCTGGTCACTACAGACTTTGCAAATTTTACTTTGAGTTATTTAAACTGTTGTTCAAAACATTGTTTGAATTAATCTTTGGTAAAGATTCCAGATGATATTTGTGAGGCTAATAACTACGTGCTCGTCTGTTGAAAATGCTGCTGTGAGTTCATGACAATTTTACAAACCATCTGCAAACCCCACACCTTCATGGTAATGTAATCTATTTACAATCGGGTATATATAGTTATTTGCTATATAAGGTAAAATCGGTCTGTTTACAATCTCTCAAGGCAACATTGGGTGATGTTACTGTGATGTCAACCCATCATCAGTCATCACAGCAAGTCCAATTTGAAATAAATTGATGAGGTTAAATTTAGGATAAAGTCAGTGGCGGATTGAGGATTTTTCTGAATCAGGGGCCTTAAAGGAGGCACAGTTTACACAGAGGGGACAATTACATGCCCAACATCCATACACAATTCCGGTTTTCGAGTAAGGTGCATATTTAAGTCTCTCCTTGTTTAATGTTAGCTCCATATAATATATGTTTTGAATTGTTCCTTGTTCAAGCACAATGTGTTTGTTAAAAAAGCTCAGCAAATTGTCATAGTTAATGTCAGTATTGTTTGTAAGTGGCACATTTATTTAGGAAAAAAAGGCTGTTGACAGGACAGGGGCACTTCAGGGGCCAATCAGATTTCAGTTGTGTCCAGTGGATTAGGTTTTTGATTGGGGGCTTTTGGGAAATTGGTTCGATAAATGAACTCACAAAGCATTGTTTTGACTCAAAACATTGGCTCTAATTGATCTGATGGTAAATGATCTGAGTAGCAAAGAGTATTCTGGCTATTTGTATTTTAAAATGTCTAATTTTTGAATTAACAACTAAGTTAATGTTTAGAAGCCAAGTGTAACTAACCAGTGAGGCTATAGATGGTGCAGCTCTGTAGGTGCATACAGCATCTGGGCACTAATGGTAAAGATCTATACGAAGGTGAGACTGAGTTTTTCCAGAGTTTTAACCATGAGGAGCAGGGAGGACATTAGTCAGTGGTTTTCTGTAGATGGATGAGTCTGGAGGCAACCCCCTCACCACCACCCAGTGATAGAGCTGCAGCTGTGAGAGTGCAGTTCAAGGTTAAGCCATAGTAGTCTAATTGGCAACATGGATCACTCTGTCCTGTCCTTGAGATAACGAGGTCTAATAGAGGAGTTTTTTATTCAACAAAGCTATATATAGTCCTGCATAACCCGTGTCTGGATTTACTGACTTTTTTTATTATCGAAAAGCCACTTGAAAACCATTTGTAACACATCACATTATGTTCTGTTGCACTGTCCGCCACTTTACGCCTCACCTCAGAGATAGAAAGGTTAAAATCAAATTGTGTCGAATGTGGGCTTGTTGTTACACATTGAGGAGTCTGACTGATAAAGTGGTGTGTGGACGTTATACAGACAAAGGGTTGTGACCACTCACAGATGAGATTGAGTTCAGTGTTGGATTCAAGTGTACAAGTTTGGAAAAAGTTTCTTGCCACGGCAGCAGACTTTATAGCACCAATCTGTTTCAGTCTATGAGTTGGAGGAGGCAAAGAGTTTTGTTCTGCCATTTAACGCTAACATTTCAAGCTAACGTTGTAGGAGATGTTCACTGAATTAATGTTGACAGTTTCACTATTGCTGAGAGTTGCTCAGATCTGTGCTTGGCACTGCTGGTCTACAGAGCAGGTGAAACAATAATAGATTCTACCAACCTACCAGATTTTATTTGACTGGTGAGGTTTAAACCACCTGGCTTTATGGCTTTATCCACACTAGCACATTTTAGCTTTAAAATGCATTGCTTTTTGTACATTCACGCTTGTCATCGACAATATTCCTGAGTTGCAGAGCCCCTTAAATGGAGACTTGTTGCTGTTGACCCTTTTTCACTTGGAAGACTGTGTTTTTGTCTGGATAGACAGAAACAGAGACTGTTGAAAACTGTGATCCAGACACATTTGCTTCCTGATTATGTCTTATTAGTCTTAACTCAGCAGCACTGGTGAATGCAAATATTACCTAAAGATACTGAATTAAGCTGATGCTAATTTTTGGTTGTTGCAGTGAGGAACAATAATAATAATAATCTATCTAATAATAATCTGCAGCTATTTTTTAGTCTGCATGTTGCAACATAACATGATTGACAGGATGTGAGCGGACGTGAATGCTTTTCAGGTGAAAGCATGTGTACATTGGGATCGGGGCTAGTTGCTGATGAATGCTCCTCTGTGTTCACTGATAAAACATCAGTAGTTCATGCAGCATGCTGCCTTGTCTGGCCATTCATTATAAACTCTTCAACAATGATTAACAGTACTGTCCACTCTGTGTTTTCAAGTATCCTGTGTAAAACAATGACAATAATTGACCTGTAGAACTAGAGTAATTACAGTTTGTGTGTGTGTGCTGTTTGTGTGT